CACAAAGGATGTTTTTCGACAAACCTAGGTTTATGTGCGTCATATGACGCGTTTTACGTCAAAACGCGTCATATTATGACGCACATAAACCTAGGTTTGTCGACAAACCTCCTTTGTGAATTCGGGCGTATGTGTATGGGATGTGCAACCACACTTGGTTTTGCCAAAGTCTTCCTGACCCAAGTCATGATCAGCTAGGATATTGTCAGGAACGGGAAGGCAGCTGATGACTGCATGCTGCCGTCTGTGTCGGGCAGAGTGAGAGGATGTTGAACACCTTGTTGCAATTTGCCCTGCCGTATCATAATGTGCGTCAAGGCCTACCCCGGCGACCTATGAAAAAAATCCATTTATGGAACTTCGGCAGACTACTCAGCAGGCGCGCCGGAAATAGTTTGGGATTGGAGCAAACATTCCAGGGGGCACAAACTTCAGGGGCAGTTGCGTAATGAGCAAAAACGTTTGGAGGGCAGGACAAATCTGCATCACCACCACTCTGACATGTTACATGTAGGCACCGCGGCATTCAATAACGGTCATATGAGCATCCAAAGACCCTCCTGATGAGGGCCCATTGTGGGGTCAAGGGGCAGAGCCCCCGGAAGCTCAAGGGTTTTAGGCGTTTAATTACGGTCAGATGAGCATACAGGGCCCGTCCTAGGGCCCTTGGCGGGGTCAAGGAAGCAGAACAACCGGAAGCTCAGAGGTTTCAGACAATTAATTACGGTCAGATGAGCATATTTTGATACCTCATTTGTGACGCTGGTAGGTCACTCATTTGTTATTTCTCTATTTCTTTCTCTTTCTCTATAACATAAGCATAAGCCCCTGAGCCCCCGAGCCCCACCGTTCTGCAGGCGCTGACACGAAGGGTTCTAAATAAGTACATAAATATTATTTTGCCTGACTGTAAATTTGGGAATTTGTAATTTTCCAACAAAGATAATTTACAAAAAGCGTTGAGAAAAAATTCCGAAAAAACATGTAATTTCAACAACATTTGTAAATCAAATATCTAATTAAAAATAAACCACGTTCCAATTTAGATTGAGGGCAACGCCAGTGTTCAGGGGCTCATGCCTTCTCACCCCTATAATGAAAAATACACACGCTTTCCCATCCTCTCACAATATTTCAATGATATGCGCGTACCGCTATTATAAAATCCTCCAATGATAACAAATAGGGGCATGCGGAATGTTTAGGAAATTTGATTCCTGTTTACTCTCCTTTTCTTTAAATGATATATAATTTTTATGTGATTCAAATCATGTTTTATTATTTTTGTATCTACTTTTTGGTTAAAAAATACAAAAACAATCTTTAGTCCTTAACTGTTTTTTATTTGTTTTTGTTTTGGGATTTTCGACCTGGGAACGGACGACTAAAAAGTTTAGTTCCCTGAACAGTAGTGTTATGAGATTTACAAACAAAACTAAAAACGACATGTACATGACAAAACATGACAGGGGCATCGTTCATGGCAGGTTATACAAATGGAAGTTATCATGAACAAATCATAATAATTGGATTACTCATCAACCGATGACTAAACAAATCATGATAATTTTACTCACCAACCGATGACTAAACAAATCAAGAATTAAATGGGACAATAAGAGTATTGACACTGCAGAATCGGCTGGATGCGTTATGCTTTAGCTGCCCGCATTTAACCCGTTGACAACTGATTTTTCTCATTTCCATAGGCTTAATACAGGAGCCACCAGGTTCCAGTAAACAATGGGTTATTGTTTATCCGTCACGATCAAGGACGAGTCAATACCCGAACGAAAAGTATTTTGATTCATACATCCTTGTCATATTCATGAACAATAATAATAGCAAATATAGGATGTTAGGTCAGCTATAAATAAATAGATCAGTTTTCATTAGGAAGTACCGGTATTATTATTATTAAGAATTTGGCGTCACCTGTTGCCTGGAAGGCGAAAGCGAACGGAAGCAATTTCACCCTCGGGTCTCTCCTCCCGGTGTAGAGTACCGAAGCTGTGACGTCATAACAATCTATTTTTTTTTTTATAATTTCTCAATTTTTTCTTAATTTTCCGAAGGAGCATCAAAAATAATGTCCGAATGTCGAAAACCACTGGAATATGTTGAGTATTGGCTGAGATATGACCATCGGAATAACTATATGTCCTATGGGAACTCGGTGTTATAATGCTCTGGTTCCTAATACTGTTCGGGGAACTATATGCACGCATCAATCATCTTATACCGGGAAGAGAGACAGTATAGTTACTTATACAAACAAAACTCAAAAAAAGACATATACATGTACATGACAAAACATTACAAGGGCATCGTTCATGACAGGTAATAAAAATGGAAGTAATCATGAAAAAATCATTAATGTGAAAATAGCGATGTGATAACGTGATATAATGTTATTATTGTTACACGAATCATTGATATTTAGATATAAGATACTGCTTCAAGATTCTTTTAAATAATGTTAAAGACTTGCATGAGGATATTTCAGGAGAAATAGAGTTTCCAATTACAGGAAAATTGTTTCTTACAGATTTCAAAAATATATTGCTCTTTACTGGCCAAAAGTGAAAGGAGCCTTCCCATTATACCCTAATATTTTGGACCCTTTACAGCTACCTACATCAGATAAGTGAGAACAGGGTTTTCGCACTAACGGAAGCCGTCAGAAAATTCAGACCCTAAAGTCGGGTTGATTTTATCCTGTATCTAGATTTTATCCTGTGCAACCCCTACAAAAAAAGAACTTTGGTAACCATTGTTCTTTTTCTTCCAAATAACCATCCACCATGGTAACCATGGTAATCATGATATCAAACACTGACATTCATTGTTCGATGACCCTGCGTTTATCATTGTTTGATACCATGGTTACCACATGATTACAAAATACAGGCAACTCTCAAAAATATCCATCAGGAAGTGGTTATCAAACGTCCACGTTTTGACGCCTACATAATTATGTATACGGAGTAGGCAATGTCAGAAGAATGCTACCCCATGCTCTATGCTCCATGGGGTAAAACGCAAAGGTTCGTACCGTGCGCAATATTAAATACGGGAATTTCCCTTAATCGTGTATACCGGGGTTCTCCCTGAATCGCGTATCACGACGTACTTTATTGGTGCATTACGAGGAGATGACAGGGTCGATCAATGACAACAGTTCACAAGCAACTATGCTGTCAGAAGAAAGATACTGAAACATTAGAACTTGATATTTTCTACCGAAAGACTTCGATACAATGATATGTTCCATAATTGGGAGTATCATTACGGCCTGCATCAAGTGGTAAGTCTCTGTTTCATTTTGAAGAATTCTTTTATTGACCATCTCGATCATATTAATCAAGATATGCTTATCAATGATTGTCAATGTATTGAAATGTTAATTATATAATATTGATTATAGGAATAGGCCTTAAGCAGTGGGCTTGGTTCTTTGAATGGTTAAATTAAATCATGGAACATACCTGCTTTTTCCGTTTCGTTGACGATCAGCCATGCATCAAGTCTTTCGTCTTCTTTTTGCATGGCTGATCGTCAACGAAACAGAGTTAAGTCTTTTGTCAACTCTATTTGTTGCTACGGCAGGCAGCCAGTGAAAACGAATTCGTTTAATCAAATTATGGAAATGAAAGCAATACTTTAAACAAACAGAACGTTTTTATTCCTGGCTCATTTTTCCTGATTGAGGTGTCATATGAGGGCAGAAAAAGAACTTTGGCTAGAAATGTGATTTTCTCTTTGAAATTCAGATTCCGCCCACCAAATGTCTTTTTGGTATTCTCTCTTCAAATTGTTTGTAATCACTCATGCGTGAAAAAAAATGCATCATATGAGTTGCATCAAATGAAAGAGGAGGATCTAAGCTTTACAAATACGTGTAATTTATTGATTATAATCGTGATTAAGTTATGATAAAACGTCAATAATTCTCGGTTTCGTTTTTTCTGGGACACGCTGTTGGCCTATATTGCGATTTTTTGTATGAAGTAAAAATACAAAAATGTGTTACAGTCGTAATACATACAGGTACAACAACGATAAAAAAGCGATGATTACCTGGAAATGCATTTGGTTGCTTTATACCAAGCGTTCATCATTCATTCGTTTCACAAAATAATATCGTACACAAATTACATCTAATATAAAGAAGACAAAAAACAATCCCTGATGAGTATTACGAACATCGTGTCAAAGTAGAGGCACTTATCAGAGGTGAAAAGTGGCATTTAAGAAAAAGGGAAGGGGGTTCTTATTTATAAAGAAAGGTACACCGTTAAAAAGGAAAAAGAAAAGGGGTACGAGTCAAAGTGAAAAATGGTATTTTGGGGGATAACTGGAGAAAAAAGTTCTTCTTTTTCTTCTTCTTTTTTCTTCTTCTTCTTCTTCTTCTTCTTCTTCTTCTTCTTTCTTCTTCTTCTTCTTCTACTTCTTCTTCTTCTTCTTCTTCTTGTTCTTCTTCTTCTTCTTCTTCGTTTTCTTCTTCTTTTTCTTCTTCTTTTTCTTCTTCTTCTACTTCTTCTTCTTCTTCTTCTTCTTCTTCTTCTTCATCTTCTTCTTCTTCTTCTTCTTCTTCTTCTTCTTCTTCTTCTTCTTCTTCTTCTTCTTCTTCTTCTTCTTCTTCTTCTTCTTCTTCTTCTTCTTCTTCTTCTTCTTCTTCTTCTTCTTCTTCTTCTTCTTCTTCTTCTTCTTCTTCATCTTCCTTATACACGTACATATTTCATTATTACGTCAAATTCGGGGAATTCCCAAAATTAGATATTCATTAATAGTCTTTAACTAGGCAATGGGATTATTCAATGCTAAGTTAACACAGAGAGTCTATGTCATTAGTTCAATTTTTTAATCTAAATTTGCTATAGTCTTATATTTGATATAGATTCTTTTCAAAAATTAATATGAAATAAGCTTAAACGTAAAAACAAGAAGATTTTCATTACAGAAAAATCTAGAAAGCGACTGTAGCTAAGTTGCGTTTGCGCACGAAGGTGGTGGCGCTCTCCGATTTGTGCGGATGATATATTTCTTCTTAGTTTTGCTTGGAGTTAATCAATTTTAAAGCTTAAATTCTGTTTCACCAACAGGTGAGTTCATATATTCGTTGCTATTTGTTGTGATATCGAAACGATACAACTGATGGTATGTAAATTAATAACAATTACGTATTTTTCTTATTCGCCGTAGACTACTCTGGTCTCTGTATCAAATAAGAATATGTCATGACATGTTTTTCAATATGTGGGACATTCGCAAATTACTGTGCTGCCATTTTTAGTTTTAAGTTTAGGGTGTGCCGAATATCAAAATGTCTGGATTAGGCAAATTCTACAAGAAACGTTTTCACCACATCGACCTGAGAACACATGAGTTAATCAATCTGGACCATACCAGGGGAGAATTTTAAGAGAAGAAGAAGAAATTTGAAAAATTGGCAAATTAGTCATAGACTTCTAACGTTAGATCTAGATTCTAAGTTATAAAAATAGTTTCAGCAGGTTTAGGCCTAGGAGTAGGACAGAAATGAGTTCAAACCGAATCAGAGACTCACTTCATTCTTCAAGTTCAAGCTTCAGAAGTTCAGTCTTGATGAGGTTCTTGGCTTTTAAAAAAAGTGTAAATAAGTGAAGCACTTTTTAAATCTTCATTAGTGTGAGGAATAAATTAATTGCAATTTTGATACCCTTTCCAGAACCCACTCACAAAATGACAAAACACATGCGACATCAATAAAATTATGTCACAGGGACAGTATGAACAACCTACCTACATGTATCACACATTCAGGACAATGTTGGATACCCATTGCAATGTTTAGATATATTATGAGTTAACGTTGTTTGTGTATTTACTGCCAGTGGTGATATTTCCTCTTTTTTGGGGCACTTCAAATGAGATGGCAAAGACAAAGTGACCATATTTGCGCGTGACCTAAGTTGACGTTGGCTATCTCAAAGTCAAGCATTTGTTAAGATTTCAAAAATCTGATATCACCAATGGAAAGAGGAACATAAAATTACCCATCAACAGAATTTTCTCTGGAACTGGATGTGAAATTATGAAAAGATCAGTATATTTTGGGGTCATTTGCGTCCGTTCCGAAAAAATTACTAACTTACCGACAAAGGTCTGGAGATCGTCATTTTCAGAGCAGATATCCTAAAAATTATAAGTAAGAGGTGGTACTGACTGGTTGTATGATATCTTGCCTTGCAAATTATTAAATTACGAATAATAATTATATGTCAATTTAGCTAGGAGCTTATAATATGCCACTTTTCTCTTAGTGTGGTGTCTCTGAACACTCAAACACCTCTCGATGCCCTGGAGATCAGCTACATCAGCAAGTTGTTTGGTCCATATTAGGCCTGAGTCATGTCGGGATTTTCATAAACCGCATCCGACGGCTTTGTACCGATCGGGACCCGGTGTCCCGAAATCAGCTCGCAGGATTTGTCACTTGCCTCTCTAAAAAGCGCATATCGCCAGTATGTCCCTTAAAAGTGACCTTTTTAATCAATCAAATAAATCAACACATGCATACCTCCGCTCAGATCGGTATATTCTTCCATTTGACATTATTTTCATCCATGATTGGCGATGTTTAGTGCCATTTTCGTGCCTCTAAAAGTAAAAAAACTGGGGCAGAAATAGAAAGACAACATTCGAGCTGCCATTTTGATTTATGCAGGCTGAATAAATCTGGTCAAAAAATATGAATGTTAGAATAATAAAACGGCTTTCTAAAAATGTCTTCTGTACAATATACCGATCATAGAATATTTTAAAGACAAAATAAATATGTATCTCTTATTTTAAACATTGCATGCTTTTTTTTAAAAGCTGAAAATTACTTGGTAATCAAGAGTTTCGATACGGATAGCTGTTGCAAGGCAAGTTCAGACTAGTCTCGGAAAATGCGCAGTGCTCCTTGTAATTAGCTGTAATGCGTGCCAGAACGAACCAAAACAAAGACGTGATCGTAACAAGAAAAAAATCATTAAAAACTACGAGAGCACAATTGGAAAGACAACTACTGCTCAAAATTACCATAATCAGATAGATAACTTTGACAAAGAATTCAATAACCGCCCAAGAAATGCAACAGAAATTGTGATAATCGAGGAGTAACTGGGTACATTTTTCTCGCAAGGTGCCTGCTGCAAATACTTGAATCCTTTGTTATACTCTCTCTTGTATCCCTCCTCCGCTCAGGTCGGAGATCGTCGCCACTGTGAGTCTGCCGAAGTTACATAAATGGTATAAATTCGACTATTGGTCGTTAAGTAGATTTTGACGGGTTGTGTGAAGGTTGCGTATAAAATAAAGGAAAAGTGTATGCAGCTGTGTTTTGGTACTACTGCTGATGTGTCCAGCAGGGAGAAAGAGCATTGACTCCAAGAACAGGGCAGGCGCAGACTCGAAGTATTGAGTAAACTGCTTTGTGTTGAGGTTATCCTTAATAAGATTAATAAGGTCTTGACGCACAGATGATAGAGGGCGGCATTTGCCTCGTATAGCCTCGTGTTAAATTTAAACCCGTGTAATTCGGATATTGCAGCAGGCCCTTCCGATAATGATTGTACCTATAGTAACTCCTTAAATATCACTATTTATGTGGCTTTTCTTGGACAACTATTGTTTTCTTCCTCCAAGTTATGTATCTGCTTACAATAATTTTGAGTAGTTGTCTTTCCAATTGTGCTCTCGTAGTTTTTAATGATTTTTTTCTCGTTACGATCACAACTTTGTTTGGGTTCGTTCTGGCACGAATTACATTTTCAGCTTCTAAAAGAAGCATGCGGTGTTCAAAATCAAAGAAAAAATATATATTTTGTCTTTTAAAAATTATTCGATCGGTATGTTGTAAAGAAGTACTTTTTAGAAAGCCGTTTTATTATTCAAACATTAATGTTTCTTTCAACCCGATTTATTAATCCTGCCGAGAGACCCGGCCAGTACAGTCAGTAGCTAGCTAGCAGCTGGCAACAACAACCCCATGGGGCGAACTGCCTTGCAACCCATATTTATATCAACAGTTTGGATTGATTCAGGATGAGCTAGAATATGATTGGTAACAATTAAGTTTTAAGGTGGATTGATTTCAGTGGTGTGCAAAACTGCAATTTCTTACATATTACGTTATGTTTTTCGGAGTGTCGGTTCTCAAAAAAACGAAACCGGGACCCAACGGCAACGGTCTAGGTGTGATCGACCGTACTGACTCAAGCCTAGTCCATATGACTGCAGAGTTAATAAGAGCTTGGAGTTGATAACATTATTATAAAATTATGATTTGTAAATAAGGCCTTAAAAAGAAAATTATATTGCCCATTGCGACTGACCCAAAAATGTTGAAATCTACGGTCGGCTTTAAAAAAAAAAATTATAAAGCATTCAAAACTGAGAAAAATCAGCCCAAAGACGGAGAAAAAAATGTCTTGACACCAAAAGGGCAATACATCTTTTTTTTTAGGCCTAATGCTTATATTGTATGTTTTCTTTTAGCATGGCGTCATTCAACCCTGACACGCCTCTAGATGCCTTGGAGCTGAGCTATATCAGCGAGCAGCTGGGCCCTTACGATTGGAGGAAGCTCGGTCTGTACCTCGGTATAACGGAGACCCGATTAGCCAACTGGGAGAGGCAGTACATGATGAACATAGAACAGGCTGCCAGTCAAATGCTCTACACATGGCACAACAACCAACATCCGTCCCAAGAGCGGAAGTTGCTGATAGAGGCTCTGGAGAAGACAAAGCTGAGGAGTCTTGGAGAGAAGGTCCGCATGGGTGAGTTGTTGTTATTGAATTTAATTTATTTTCCACAAAACATGTAGTTGAGGGGTCAGTGACCCAAAGACGTAACTCCATTTTGGCCAGTTTTGAGAAAAAGTGGTTTATGTGTCACTTGGGCCTTAAGGAGTTGAGTCTAGCCATTGACTTCAATGGGGTGTTGGGTGGAGTTATAAAGTCGTTGTGTTTCCTGGAAAGCCCACATTTTTCTGAACATTTTGATATCAAATACTTATTTTGACTAAATATGGAGTTACGAGCACCTTATTTTTTTTTTTTGTGGCCAATTTTAGAGTTGAAATATTTTTTTTGCCCAACTTGTGAGAATCTTTAATTTTTATTTTTTGTCATTGGGGTGGGGGGGGGGGGATGGGGGGGTGTCAGTGCCTGAACATTAGCACTCCTGATAGAATGTGGAAGTAGCAAGCTCTGCTACCCCAAGTAGTGCAACTGAGAATTTCTGTCGGGACAGCTCAGTCGGCTGATCTCAGTCTATGCGCTGGTCAATGGTTCATCAGGAGCTCTGCAATGCAGGAAGGGGTTTTACTATTAAAGGGATTGGCTAACTTTGTCTCAGATTCTGAAACAAAATCCTGAATTTAGCTCATGCTTCAAGGATGATTATAAACCTTTAGGTCAGTCAGGAACCCCATGACGTTTACAAGCCTGTCAAGGTATTTATGATTGGAAATCAAAATCAAATTTTGCGTTTTCCTAACTGTTTTCATAACACTACAGTCTTATGGGTAAAACGAGTATGGTAAAACCGGTCACTCAAAGATTTGTACTTTTTTGAGGCACTTCTTGATCATTTTGAAGCGCAACTTATTTAGGGCTTCAATATTCTACCATATCACAGACACTGATAACACGTAGGACCGTGCATCTCAGATTTAAGATTGTTAAACGATGCCTTTAAGTGCTTTGAACACTAGAACTCAAAGAAGCCATCATCATCATTTTGGCCCCATGAATCCATCGATGACGTTCAGCACGTTGTCTCCAGAAAGGAGCAGGATATATTGTTTTGTCAATTATGTACTACTTTCTGGAGGCAACATATCCATTTAGAGCTGGAATGATTCACTTGTGAATACCGGCCAATGATCTTAATTAATTCCCTTCCCTTTCATTGCAGGCGAATGTCGGCGCACAGTTCCGCCGGGCATGAGGCCTATACCCCCGGAGCCCTTCAACAATCATCAGCACCCTACCCCTCCCGCCCAAAGGTACGAACCCATCGCCCATCTCCCGCAACAACCCGACATACTACCCATGCGAATACCCCAGCAAACCAGCTATGAGATAACGGAGATCAAGCTAAGGGATGTTTCCAACAAGCTAGGTTCCGAGTGGAGGATGGTTGGAACTTTTTTAGGCTTCAACAACTCTCAGATTGAGGTTATGCAGGAAGAACATCGAGTCGTTAAGGTACTTCAACTTTTTCATTAAGTTCTGGGGTAGTTTTCTGAAAACTATTTTGACTTTATTGTTGACTTTCATTTGTACTTTCATCATTACTCTCGAAGAACCAAAATAAAAACATAAGACTCTCTACTTTTGAAAAAAATTGTTTGGTAATCAAAAAATTAATTTGTGAATTATTTATTTCTTACATTGAAAAACACAGTACTAATACATTTGTAAATTTCAGAGTAAAACCCCGAATTTCCAACAACAAAAAAATACCAAGTGACAAAAAGGAATAGTAAACTTATCATACATTTCTGTAAACTGATTTTTGATGTGTAATAACTTACAGTTAAAATGGCTTTACTTTTTATATGTATCTCTGGATGGGGTACATTTTCATTTCTTTATTTATCTTTTTATTCTACCGTTATTATCCCCTCGCCGACAAAGTCGGAGGGGGTATAGTAATGCTATAGTAGGGCTGCTTACAAAATTGCATACAAAGTACCATTAAGCAAAAACTGGCAAAGGGATGTTTAAAATACAAAATGTCATCAGTGATTGTGTTTGCTGACCATGCTCTTCTAAAACCAAAGTTGGCAACAGAAAATTGTTGAGGAGGGTTGTCACACCCCCTCAAAGGCATGTTCAGACATTTTTAATTTTTTTTGTGTGTGTAAAATGAAAGGCAGCTGCACGTAGTATTCAATGAGCTCTGTGTTTTAAGATACATGTATTGAGAAATTTCAAGAGTACTACATTTTACGTAATTGTTTTAAAAAAAACAGCAGTTTTGTTGCATCATATCTGAACGAGCCTTATGTAACAGATCTGCTTACATTTGTAGGTAAAGTCATTTTGAAATGTTCATTTGTATGTTCTGTGTCTTCTATCCACACAGGAATGTATCTTCCAAATGTTACTACAATGGCGAAACACCAACGGTGTCCAGGCTACAAAGACTAAATTAAAGAAGGCGCTGCAGCGATCGCAACGTGAAGATTTGGTGGATTTCATTGATGAAGCGGATGATTGAGTCCTAGCTAAATGACAAAAACTTTGATGAAATGACAGACTGATGAAGCCTTTCCAGAGTCTCCTGTAGGAGGTCAAGAGGACCATGACTACATCATTGAAATCACCAAACTGGAAAGAAACTTAAAGGGCAAGTCTACCCTGGTCATGTAATGCCTGGCTGGAATGCTCCCCAGGGAGTGGAGATTGTGCACACATTGTTTGCGGGCAAGCACTTAATCCAATGACCGGGGTAATAGTATATTTGTAAAGCGCTTAGAGACATTTGTATTAAGCGCTATATAAAAATTAAATATTATTATTATTATTATTATTAATTTGGTTTTAATAAAAGCAGAAAAATGAGAGAAACAAATAAGTGAAATTTTGAGTAAATCCAATTAGAAATAGGAAAGTTCTTTTAGAAGTTATCATCAGTGAAACAAACATTGGCAACACTCTAGTGTTTCATGCAAGCTCCTCTCCAATTCGCTCTGTGCAAAACTTTCATTTTCTTAGTTATGATGGAATAGATTTTGTTTACACAGGGGTTGTCTGAAAACTGTCTTTAGGGAAAATATAGATCTTGGAAGTTTCTAAGGACAGGGTGATTCCGAGGGGAGCTCACAAGATACGTTAGAGTTGCAAATTTGTGTTTGATGGATTTCACTTTCAAAAATTCATAACTTTCAGATTTTTGATTGTTTTTTTTTCTCAAAATTTCACTGACCTATTTTTCTCAACTTTTTGCTTCTATTAAACCAAACTTGATATCAGGGTGGACGTCCCCTTGTATGAAATGGCTTAATTAGCATCTGTGAGTGTGACCGCTTCTTCAGCAGGTTTCCATGCTGCTAACAGTTCATGAAAACATCTGATTCAAGTCACTAAAAATATTGGAACCGTGATAAGATCAACGGGAAAAACTCCAGTTTGGCATTTCCTATGGAAGCCAAGTGAGCTGTTTACACCTAATGAAATGAACATTGATGTCACGTTTCAATTTACAATCGATCGATGACTGTTTTACATGACTGCTATTAAAGAAAGTATGTGGAAGTCATTAGAGCTGTTTACACCTCATGAAATGAACATTGATGTCACGTTTCAAATTACGATTGATCGATGACTGTTTTACATGACTGCTATTAAAGAAAGTATGTGGAAGTCTTTAGAGCTGTTTACACCTACGGTAATGAAATGAACATTGATGTCACGTTTCAAATTACGATTGATCGATGACTGTTTTACATGACTGCTATTAAAGAAAGTATGTGGAAGTCATTAGAGCTGTTTACACCTCATGAAATGAACATTGATGTCACGTTTCAAATAACGATTGATCGATGACTGTTTTACATGACTGCTATTAAAGAAAGTATGTGGAAGTCTTTAGAGCTCTTTACACCTACCGTAATGAAATGAACATTGATGTCATGTTTCAAATTACGATTGATCAATTGCTGGTTCACCTGACTTCTAATAAAGAAAGCATGTGTGGTGGTGGTGGTAATTTTTTACCTGACTGCTAAGAAAGCATAAATGTTTAGTTGTAAGTAAGCAACCAGGCAGCCGACGGCTTAAGTCCTCTCCGACGAACTTGGTAATAAGGATTAATGCCTTACCGAAGAGAATGAGCACATTTACACCACTACTCTACCACTGAGCCATCCGGCCTTCTTCCCATCGCGGCTTCAATTCAAATTGGTTTTGAGTGCATCTTTTATGTATGCAAAACTGAAAGACCAAGCTGTACTAACCAAGGCTCAAGATTACAAGATTCTGTGATGTAATTCAATGTTTATTTTAATATCTTGAAATACTGGACTGTTTGTGAAATTTTAAAGAGTTCCTGATTTTGCAATACATGTATTATCTTTATCAAATCTGCTCTATGGCTTGCTATATGTGTAAATGATATTGTCATTGAGGAGTTAAAACTCTCTAAAAGATCTCCTTCTTGTTATTCTCCTTTTTCTTCTTGTATTTTTTTCTTTTCTTTTGCTTTTTCTTCTTGTTAGTTTTCTTCTTCATTTCTCCTTCCTCTTCTTCTTCATCTTCCTTCTTTCTTTTTCTTCTCCTTCTTTTAATAAGGAGACATTGCTGGATATTTGATTTTAAAACTATGCTTGTGAAAGGTTATTTCACAGCAGTGGACATTTAACATTTAAGTTAGCGATTTTATCATTTTTATGAATACTCTTTTATGCTACTTTCCAGCCAATCTATAAAAATATGTTATCTGATGTCATCAGATATTTCGTCACTGTTTTCACGAAGTGACGGTAGTGAAAAAAATTGCATTCACTTTGCGTTACGATTTTCCTCACTACCGTCACTTCGTGAAAACAAGGACGATTTGTTGATCTTCTGACACTTATTCAATCTTGCTTTATTTTAGGAGCATTTGAATTACATTGCTTATTATCTTACAATAGTGAATTTACATGTAAGGCCTACATGTGTATATATTGTAATCATGTAATTAGAATTCTTTTTATAAATTCATGTAATTGTTTATCATGTTAAACAAACAGAGTATTAATACTTAAATTTAAAACCACCTGTTTGGCACAAGGGATTCATGTTCAACACATTTATTGAAAACTCATTTGAACTGATTTTTTTTTCTTCTCATTGGCAAAATTATTGTGAATAGTGTCTACAGTACATATTTATTTATATATTTGTGCTGCACAAGACTAGACGATTTCATCCCTCTATGTGTATCAATTTTTGCAAAAATCAGGCCAGGTTTTCAGTCAGAATCAATTGATGGGTTGGTTTTGACATCCAATATCAATATGTGCGCTGATATCAGCACAATCAATCTCATTGAATACATTTACAAAGTTTGGATTTATTTGGTCATTTTGCTGCACTGCACTAGTTGAAAGATGTCAACCATCGCAAGCTGAAAAATTAGCCTGTCACGGTTTTCTAGTTGGGGGCGCCATATATGGTTCTTTCAGCTGGTGTCCCTCTATAAAGGGACACTTCTTTCATCCATCATCAAGCTAAGAGCAATACAAGAAGAAGAACAAATTATTTTCAATTTGAAAAACAATGTGTTGCCAATTTGAGAAAGAATGTGCGATCAATTAAGCCCTTTTGAAAAAATCCTATCCTGAAAGAGTTAAAAGAAATATTACACATGTGTTATGTGATTTTCTTTTATTTCTTTTTTTCTTGTCAGGGGGTGGAGGAGACTTCAATATTGTTCATGTCTGAACAATGAGATGTAAAGACTACATTAAATTTATATTCTTTTAAATACTGTAAATGTACTCATTAAATTCTCTTTACAAGTAGTCCTTTTTTGCAATGTGTCATGAGTTATTATTAGTCTTCGTTTCAGCCAGGACAATAAACCTGTTATGAATACAATCTGTGCATGGGGAGTAACTTGAACTGAACTTAAAGGACTTTTAGATTCGCACGAGGACAATGGGGATTGCTACGATCGACGTCCTTTTAATGCACTGCCTTGAATGGACGTCGCACGTATCAGTCCACACAAATCTAAAAGTCCCTATTGTAAATCCCACCGAGACGATACATGTTCATGATTTTTGTCTCGCCTGCGTAGCAAAAAGCGAGACATAGGCGCCGCTTTTCCGGTGACGGCGGCGGCGACGGCGTCAACATCAAAAACTTAACCTTAGGTTAAGTTTTTGAATTTTTGGTATAATTTTTAAAGTATAAGTTCTTAGTCAATTAAACTTTGACTATAGGGTAATCAAGTATCCCCAATCATGTGAGTAGAATTTCAGATCACAAAGTCAAGGTCAAAGGTCATTTCAGGTCAACAGACTTGGACTATGTTGTAGCATCATCATCGAAAACTTAACCTAAGGTTAAGTTTTTGAATTTTTGATATAATTTTGAAAGTATAAGTTCTTAGTCAATGAAACTTGGACTATAGGGTTATCAAGTCTCCCCAATCATGTGAGTAGAATTTCAGGTCACTAAGTTAAGGTCAAAGGCCATTTAAGGTCAACAAACTTAGACTTTGTTGTGGCATCAACATTAAGATTTTTAAAATGCTTCTTCTTCGTTATTTTTCAACCGATTTTGATTCTGATTGTTTCATATGATAGGGCTAGGAGGGAATTTAAAATTTCTACACAGAATCGTGAAATTCATTATCTATGCTAATTTATGCAAATTTTATTCGAAATCACAAAAAAGGCTTCTTCTCCTTCATTTCTCGACCGATTTTGATTTGGTTTGCTTTATATCGTAGAGCTAACTTTGGTACACTAAACTTCTACACAGAATTTTGAAATTGTTCTCCATTAATTAGTTATGGTAATTTATGCAAATTTATTCCAAAAATAACAAAAATTGCTTCTTTTCCCTCATTTCTTGACCGATTTTGCCTTATCTGGTAGAGTTAAATTTGGAACAATAAACTTCTACACAGAATTGTGAGATTTTGCTCCATTGATTATTTATGGTACTTTATGCAAATGAAATGAAATTATGTCCCTTCCAGGGCATCAAATTTCTATTTTTTGACCGGTTCAAAAGTGTACCACATAAAATTTACGATATTTGTTGTTGTGAGATGCGGATGAGCGCTACGTCATTGACGTTCTGGTTTATCATATTGAATTGCGTTATGCAGGCGAGACCGCCGAGAGCGTTTCCCTTGTTTAATGTAATCATTATTCATTTATGCACTGACGGTACATTCTATTAAAACACAGGTGGAAGTATTCTTCTCAAGAGGGCAAACAAAAACAAAACGTCTTCTGATGGGGCCCGCTGCATAAAACTTACCATTGATGGTAACTTTGCCATCAACGGTAACTACCATGGTAACAGGGCTCAACAGCCAATCAAAATCAAGGTTTCCATGGTAGTTACCATTGATGGCATCAGTCAAAATTGTATAACATAATAACACACATACAAATGGCACTACAAGTTTTGTTCCCAAATCACAAAACAGCATGGTTTACAAGATATACAGAAATCAGACCAATTAGAAATTAAATAAAATAATATTAGAATAGTACCATGATCATCTGTGAGAAGCATTTATTTGGGTGAAACGTTTCTAACACTTTTTTAAAAGAAGTATAGTATTAAAATCACTAATTTTTCCTTAAATTGACACAACATTCATTTTTTTTTTGTAATATACTTGCCCAAGCACAGCAATAACATAACGCCCTGTGGCAGAGGGTGTCATCTGCCAAAGGCCATAACAGGTCAGTCCTGTTTGACAAAGAATGATAAAGACTAACTCTAAATTGTCTTAAATTGCTCTCCTGAAATTTAAGTAGAAATGGTATTGGATAATTGAAATAAAAATGATGATCATAAGCCGTGCACTATGAACATGCATGACTGACAAAGAAAGCGGACAAAATATACAGTTCCTCAGGAAGACAAAGGAACATCCCTTCACTGCTATTATGTAAAAATATGTAGAACAGGTGTCACATGCATATTCACCTTTTTACATAATAGCAGTGAAGGGATGTTCCTTTGTCTACCTGAGGAACTGCATATTTTGTCCACTTTCTTTGTCAGTCATGTTCATAGTGGCAGTAGCTTCATCAGCATCAAGGATGTTCTTCCTGAGAGCCATAATTGCTATCATCCCATCGATTGCCAGGTACCCATTTACACCTTTGCGGAGAGTGACAAATATGGATTAATGTCTTGCCGCAGGACATTAATGCCAGACTGGGATTCGAACCCTCAACCTTTGGATTGAGAGTCAAGTGAATGAACCACTACACCGCGACACCTCCATATACAATGAAACCTATATATTAAGACCACTCAGCGGGTAACATGAAAGATGGTCTTTATAAGCAGGTGGTATGATATCCTTTAGTACAACCGGTTTTAAGAAGAAAAATATTCAAGGGAAACAAAACATTGGTCTTTACAAGACTGGAGGCCTTTCTATACAGGTGGTCGCTAAGGCAGGTTTTACTGTATCAGATACCATACAGTGTATATGAGAGGACATACACATTAGAAAAGATTAACGGCACAGAAGGCCAATTAAGTAGCAGTGAGAACCCCCCCCCCCTTTTTTTTTCCTTCGAAAACTTGCCATTTTCCATGCTCATAAGTGCCCTTTTTATTTTCTAGTAAGTGCCCATTTTCAGGTACGAGAAGTGCCCCTTTTTACTTTTGATGAGTGCCCCTTCACCTTTAATAATTACCCTATTCAAATTGGAGAGGTGCCCCTTTTCCGTTGTAAGAAGTGCCCCTTCCCCTTTTAAGAACTACCCCTTTTTAACTCCGATTTGCGCACCTTGTATTTTCACATGTGCCCTTTTTCATTATGATAAGTGCCCCTATTTAAAAAAATCTCCATTCCCCTTCTCATAAATGCCCCTATTCACCTATGAAAAGTGTCAATTTTCATTCTCATAATTACTCCTTTTAATCTCTGATAATCTATTTGAATACATGTGCCCCTGAATAAGTGCCATTTCCCCCTTCACATAAAAGCCCCCTCAAACCTGATCGGTGCCCCTTTTCTTTCAACAAATGCACATAAGAAGTACGTGCCCCATTGTAACCTCTGATTATTACCCTCTGTACATCAGCACGTGTCATTTTCTTTTCTAATAGGTACGTGTCTTAATCATTTATATTTATTTATTTATTTATTTCTGATATTTATACAAGGTGGCACATATCACAAATTTGGTGGTCTTCCATGAGGCTCTGTTTGGTAATAATAAAACAAATAACAGCATCAAAAACAAAATTGATAAATACACAAGCATATAAACAGGTAAAATACAAATGAATTGGTATCCCCATGAAATAACTGATCATTCAAGAATCATCCTTGCTCATTTACAAGAAATAGGTGAATGGAATTTTCAAATTAAATAATTTTTTTAAAAACGTTCATTTAATAATCAGATATAGCTTAACGCACGGGATACCAAAATTGTTATATACATATTTACATTCAATTGCTCTTTAACTTATACACTTAATTAGGTTGTTTACAAGATATCTGAAAATGGATACATTACATGTATGAATATAACGATAACCATGTCAACCAAATTTCATAATTTTGCAAATAGGAAAAAAACGGTTAGCTTCGCTAGAAACCCCCAAAAGTTCACTTAAACGTCATCTCCAGATAACAGGACTTTTAGAGCGTGTTTAAAACTGTTTATAAGTGTCGATCCCTTTACTTCAAGATACCCACTGAAGAGGAAAAGAAACAGCGCCATGCATCTAATCATCAGTGATGAACAACTAAACAAAAAAAAAGTACAGCCAGGCAGAAATAATCTTTTTAGATTGGTCAGCCTTAAAACCCAAAAACAACATCAACAACTTCTCATCATTATTACGTGCCCCTATTTTAAAGCGACTATAAGAGCAATTTCTGCCAAAACTCCCTCGCTAAACTCACTCGCATTTATAAATGGTATAACTGTGTAGTCTGTGTTATATGGTTTTATACAACACCTACGTGGATCCTTGTCATTTGATTGGACGATTGTTGGTCACATGATATTCAATAGATGGTATATTGCACGGTCGTGCATTTTTGGTTATATGCGCCGTGCATTTTTGGTTATATGCAGACTGCGTACCTCTCTGCTGCATGTGCGCGTATCCCTGCGTGTATCGACGCGAAGGCAATCTGCATGTAATCGAGCAGGCTTGACTCGAACTTTAATTTATCTTTATAAGGAGTAAAGCATAATTTGTTGATTAACGTTCTATTAGGTCTTCTTCGATGTTGTATAAAACAAATAATGAATGTTTTTCATTCGTTTAATAGTGCAAATATTTTCATTCGTTGAAAGATTAACGTTAATTCTATTCAACTCGGCTGACGAACCCCCTTTCGCGGGCTTTTCCTGCCTTGGAGACCCCCCTAAATCATGAAAAATGCTCAATGTACCCCCCTAAATTCAGAATAATTTCTCAGGAGTCCAAAGAGATGAGAGAAAAAAAGAAAAAACACCCCCTTTTTAAAGAAATCTCCGGGTGAAAAGTTAATACACCCCTTTTTTTTACAATTCTCGGGCCGGACTTTGTCCCACGAAAAGTACCCCTTTACCAGACATTTTGGTAACGCGCATGGGGTCCGTCCGTTCTCGTAGTGGGGGGGGGGGGGTCTATATTATACTTGCACGTACATTTTTTCCTCATTGCGTCATATTCGGGGAATTCCCCGAATAAGATATTTATAAGTAGTCTTTAACTAGGCAAAGAGAATTCAAATGCTAAATTAACGCAGGCAGTCTATATATGTCGTCAGTTCAATTTTTATACATAAATTCGCTCTAATGTTGTTTCAATACATAGTTTCTTCAAACATTAATAAAACGTAAAGGTTAAACGTAAAAAGGAAGATTTTTATTACAGAAAAATCTAGAAACCGACTGAAGCTAATTTGCATTATGAGTTTCCGGCCGCCTGCGCGAATGACGTTGATGACGTTAATCGCGATTATAAAATGGCTCTAGTATTTTAAGCATCGTGATTGGTCAATACGCGTCACATGACATTGAAAAAATTTTGATGCAAGCACGATTTTGCAGAAATGAGTGCAGAAAAAGCGCAGTAAAAAGTTATATTGCACGGTGCGTACGCGTGACCATGGAGATCCAGTGCGCGCGCGTACGTGTAGTACGCGCTCCCTCGAGTTGCATTGCAATTATTGTAGGCTAGGCTAGCTACGCGTAGCTAATATTGTACGCTCCACCATGATCCCCAGCGCAACGTACGCGTAGCTAGCTCTAGCTAGCTAGCTAGAGCGGCCAGCGGGGTATTATTAAAAAGCAAATTTTTATTTTACTTTTGCCTTGGATTTAGGCCTGTTTTGACTTTTGGATTTTATAATGAAGCCAGGAATTTCAGCTGTCTGATGTAGACTCGTCTCTAGACCCACTGTATGGATTTTATTTTTAATCAAGGCAATGAATCCCATTGACTTTTTGGTAAGCCTGCAAGGTCTTAGTCTAATTAAATTAGAAGTAGAACCAATTCATAACTCTAGATCTAGATCTAGATCGAACTCTCGTAGACTCTAACTTATTAGATCTAAAGTTTCGTTTTTGCTATTTGTGTCGCTATTTTATAAAACAAATAACGCACTTGACCCTGTTGTGCAAAACGTAAATGCAGTAAACGCTCGGTTTCTTCAGATGGTTCGCACTGTCAACTCGCCGCAAGCGGCTCGTTGCACAGAGCTAGCGGCACCAATCTAAAGAAACCTCGCGCGTACTGCATTCACCGCTATTGCACTCTGGGACGTGCGTTATTTGTATATTGTGTAGATGTCTTAAGCCTGGCTTTGAAGGCTTAAATTCTATTTAACCAGGGAGGTGAGACCTTAGCTCCCTGATTTAACCAACAGGTGAGATCAGATATTCATTGTGATATAGAAAGAATCCAACTGAGGATGTACAAATTAATAAATTAGACATATTTTTCTAGTCAGATCAGCTGTGTGTTGTGTGGTGACTTTGTGTGTAGGCCTAACGTTAGACCTATTCCATGTCACTGTCTAGGCTAACTCCAGGAAGATCCAACGCCGGAGGCGCCGGTGGTGGAGCTTCCTGGAGTTATGTCTAGGCCTACTACTACTCTATTAGATTTTAGAAAAAAGAATTTCCTGATGTCGAGGTGTGAACATTTCTTTTTTAGTTTCAGGGTTTGAATTAGACCGAAAGCTTCAGTCTCTCTAATCGTCGGTTGTTCCACTGAGACTACGTCTGGCTCCACTAGACCTCCGATTGTATTGGGGAATGACAACAAATGTCAGTTTTATTAAAGAAATGACCCAAATCAGATGGTTATTGCTGTCTAGGTTTTAATTTGCTATCACAATCAACTGCATTTTTAGTGATGCATATTTCGCTTGTAAATCAAATCATCGGGTCATCGAAAATTGAACCAGACGTAGACGAGACCATAGATCTATTTGTATTTTGTAGATGAGAGTTTATTTGGTGTTGAGTAAAAAAAAAAGATATTATTTTTATAGTGCTCAAGATCTCCCTCGAAGCAGTTCCCTAAAGTTGACAGCCCTGTTGAAGTTAATAATTATATGAAATTATGATTTGTAAATAATGATAATAGCTTAAATTTTGCTACCGGTAGACTCTATATATTTTCTTTTAGCATGGCGCCAAAGGCATCTCCAGATACCCGGGATCTCGGCGACCAGCTGAGCTGTTCCGAAATCATGAGCCTCATTGGGAACCTCCATAAAGGGACCCCATTAACGGACTTGGTCATACAGTTCATTAAGATCGCAGATGCCGCCAGAGAAATGCTCTACACATGGCACTCCAACGAAGACCCAGCCAACGCGCAGAGGGTGCTGGCAGAGATTTCGAAAGGTAGGGAGAGGCTTGAAGAAATTTTGAGATCAGATGATGGACACGAAAGAGAAAGCCTCGTTAGTATAGCCCAAAATGGTAGGTTGTTGCACTAATCAGGTGGGCTGTATCTAATACAGACCACCTTATATTTTTGTTAAAATTGCCTTTATTATTTATTTATTTATTTATCAGGTGGGCTGTATCTAATACAGACCACCTTATATTTTTGTTAAAATCGCCTTTATTATTATTATTTATCAGGTGGGCTGTATAACGTACAGACCACCTTATAATTTCGTTAGAATTGCCTTTATTTATTTATTATTTATTATCAGGTGGGCTGTATAACGTACAGACCACCTTATAATTTCGTTAGAATTGCCTTTATTTATTTATTATTTATTATTTATTATATATTTTTCTTATTTCTAACCACTTTTTTGTTGGCAAGATAACTTGGAAATGGCTCAATCAAATAATTTGAAATTTGGCACACATATGTATAGGCATATGTACAAAGCACAATAACGTTTTCAACATTGACCTTCACTGATGACGTCATCTAGGCGCCATTTTGTAAAATTTTACGAAAATCAACTCCTGATCATATCTTCATAACTAAAAGGTATTTCTGATTCATATTTATCATGATCAGGGTCAATATCCGTCCGGTCAATTTCAGGTCAAATAACGCGCGCGTGCGCGTACGTCCGCGCGTCAATGCGCGCGCAAAATTTTGAAATGCTCAAAATCGTCTCAAAATCATTTTGCATACGTTTTAGGCCATTCTAAGCATTTTTTTAAAAATCGCGCACATGCGCATGCGCGCTCGTTTTCGCGCGTAAAACTATTAGACACCATATAATCGACATTTTTTTTCTTTCATAATATTCCACATATTCTTACAAACAATTGATACCATGTTTGTCTCTTTATGACTATAAATAATTGAATAATCGACCGTTTAACATAAATTTCAATGCGCGCGAGCTCTTGTAATACATAGCATATATGGGCAAAAACATGCCTATGCAAAATCCATTATAGCTCTTTAGGATGCAAGGTGACCCCAATTTTTTTTCATATTTTGAGCGAGTATAAATCAGAGATATGATTTCATGTCTCATTTGACCCTCAATTAACTCATGACGTCATCATAATGGCCTCCGAACTCAAAATTTCAATTTGCCTATTATGACGTCAGCATTTTTCTGGAAAATTGATTGTATCTTTCTAAAAATTGATTAATTTTCTTCAAAATTTTGATATCTTCTAGCTGAGACAATTCTCTACAAATCCAATTGTCACAATTTTTCATTTTGACAAAGGCATCATGGCGTATTTTTGCGATTAAAGGAGGCATGCCAATTTTTTCACATTTTGCGTGTATTCTCTATGGGACATGACTTTTTCTCAAAACTTGATTCTACATTCCCGTCTTTCGCGAGCAATATCTACGTCGTGTTAGCTTCATTTAGGCTGTACTCCGAATATGTTGTAGCTGAGACAAAAAGCTATTTCAAATGTACCCTTTATTTTGTCTCAATTTTTTGTTGGATCAGCCCACCTATACTTGTTCCAAACAAGTATTACAAATCTAGTATATTTTTCTTATTTCTAACCACTTTTTTGTTGGCAAGATAACTTGGAAATGGCTCAATCAAATGCCTTGAAATTTGGCATACATATGTATAAGCATATGTACAAAGCACAATAACGTTTTCAATATTGACCTTCACTGATGACGTCATCTAGGCGCCATTTTGTAAAATTTTACGAAAATCAACTCATGACCATATCTTCATAACCAAAGGTTATTTCATATTCATATTTATCATGATCAAGGTCAATATCCGTCCAGTCAATTGCAGGTCAAAAAACGCGCGCGTGCGCGTACCTCCGCGCGTCAATACGCGCGCAAAATATTAAAATGCTCAAAATCGTCTCAAAATCATTTTGCATACGTTTTAGGCCATTCTAAGCATTTTATAAAAAAATCGTGCGCATGCGCGCGCGTTTTCGCGCGTAAAACTATTACACAACATAGAATCGCAATTTTTTTCTTTCATAATATTCCACATATTTTTACAAACAATTTAATACCATGTTTGTCTCTTTATGACTATTAATAACGGAATGATTGACCTTTTAACATAAATTTCTGTGCGTGCGTGCTCTTGTATTACATAGAATACGTGTATATGGACAAAAACATGCCTACACAAAATCCATTGTAGCTCTTTAGGATGCAAGGTCACCCTAATTCTTTTTTCAAATTGTGATAGAATATAAATTGGAGATATGATTTCATGTCTTATTTTACCCTCAATTAACTCATGACGTCAACATAATGGCCTCCGAACTCAAAATTTCAATTTGCATATTATGTTGTCATCGTATTTTTGGAAAATTGATAGTATCTCTCTTAATATTTATCAATTTTCTTCCAAAATTGTATATGTTTTGGCTGAGACAATGTTCTACAAATGCACTGTTCACAATTTTTAATTTTGACAAAAATATCATGGCGTAATTTTGCGATTAAAGGAGAAATGTCAATTTTTCACATTTTGCGTGTATTCTCTATGGGACATGAGTTTTTCTCAGAACTGGATTCTACATTTCCGTCTTTTGCGAGCAATATCTCCGTCGTTTTAGCTTCGTTTACGCTGAACTTCGAGTATGTTGTAGCTGAGACAATTAGCTATCTCAAATGTGCCATTTATTTTGTCTTAAGTTTTAGTTGGACCAGCCCACCTATACTTGTTCCAAACAAGTATTACAAATCTAGTTTATTTATTTTTTTTTATTTTGAACCACTTTTTTGTTAGCAAGATAACTTGACAATGGCTCAATCAAATAACTTGAAATTTGGCACACATATGTATAGGCATATAAACAAAGCAAGGTAAGGTTTTTAACCTTGACCTTGACTGATGACGTCATCTAGGCGCCATTTTGTGAAATTTTCTGAAAATAAACTCATGATCATATCATCATAACCAAAAGGTATTTCTCATTCATATTTATTATGATCAAGGTCAATATCAGTCCAGTCAAGTTCAGGTCAAAAAACGCGCGCATGCGCGTACGTCCGCGCGTCAATGCGCGCGCAAAATTTTGAAATGCTCAAAATCGTCTCAAATTTATTTTGCATACGTTTCAGGTCATTTTAAGCATTTTATAAAAATCGCGCGTACGAGCATGCGCGCGCGTTTTCGCGCGTAACACCATTAAAAAACATAGAATCGCCATTTTTTTTTCTTTCATGATATTTCTCATATTTTTTCAAGGAATTTGATTCCATGTTTATCTCTTTATGACCATTATTAACAAGATGAGCGTAAATTCAAGATAAATGTCCGTGCGCGCGAGGTCTTTTAATACATAGCATATATGGGCAAAAACATGCCTATGCAAAATCTATTGTAGCTCTTTAGGATGCAAGGTGACCCCAATTTTTTTCATATTTTGATTGAGTATGAATCGGAGATATAATTTCATGTCTCATTTGACCCTCAATTAACTCATGACGTCATCATAATGGCCTCCGAACTCAAAATTTCAATTTGCATATTATGACGTCAGCATATTTTTGGAAAATTGATTGTATCTTTGTAAAAAATTGATCAATTTTCTTCAAAATTTTGATATGTTCTAGCTGAGACAATTCTCTACAAATCTAGTCGTCATGATTTTTATGCCTCCGCCACCGAAGGTGGTGCCGGAGGCATCATGATTTCGGGTTGTCCGTCCGTACGTCCGTCCCGTTTGACCGTTATCACAATATCTCAAGAACCATTTAAGATTTAAACTTAAGACTCGGGAATAGTATTTATCACCATAGGAAGACGATCTGATTAGATTTTGGAGTACGTAGGGCAAAGGTCACAGGTCACAGAGGTCAACTTATGAAATTCCTTGTATTAAGTTTGTTAGCGCGATATCTCAAGAACCATTTGAGATTTAAACTTCAAACTTAAGGATAGTATGTATCACCATAGGAAGACGATCTGATTAGATTTTGGAGCACGTATGTCAAAGGTCAAGGGTCACAGAGGTCAACTTATGAAATTCCATACATTGAGATTGTTATCATGATATCTCAAGAACCACTGGAGATTTAAACTTCAAACTTAGTGATAGTGTGTATCACTATAGGAAAACAATCTGATTACATTTTGGAGCACGTAGGTCAAAGGTCAAGGGTCATAGAGGTCAACTTATGAAATTCCATACATTGAGATTGTTATCATGATATCTCAAGAACCACTGGAGATGTAAAAACTTCAAACTTAAGGATAGTATGTATCACCATAGGAAGACGATCTGATTAGATTTTGGAGCACGTAGGTCAAAGGTCAAGGGTCACAGAGGTCAACTTATGAAATTCCATACATTGAGATTGTTATCATAATATCTCAAGAACCACTGGAGATGTAAAAACTTGTAACTTAAGGATAGTATGTATCACCATAGGAAGACGATCTGATTAGATTTTGGAGCACGTAGGTCAAAGGTCAAGGGTCACAGAGGTCAACTTATGAAATTCCATACATTGAGATTGTTATCATAATATCTCAAGAACCACTGGAGATTTAAACTTCAAACTTAATGATAGTGTGTATCACCATAGGAAGACAATCTGATTAGATTTTGGAGCACGTAGGTCAAAGGTCAAGGGTCACAGAGGTCAACTTATGAAATTCCATACATTGAGATTGTTATCATGATATCTCAAGAACCACTGGAGATTTAAACTCCAAACTTGTTTAAATTGCTCTATGGTGGAGGCATCATTTTCGACTGCGCGCAGTCAAAATTCCATCTAGTTCATTATGACAAGGGCATCATGGCGTATTTTTTGCGATTAAGGGATCCGGTAACTTTGTCTCAGATTCTGAAATAAAATTCTGGATTTAGCTCATGATGCAATGATAATTATAAACCTTAAGGTCAGTCAGGAGCCCCATGACTTTTACAAGCCGATCGCCTGTCTGATTATCAAGATATTTATGATTGGAATTACAAATTTTGAAAATCGTTCGCCTGACGGTTTTCATAACACTACAGTCTATTGGGGAAAACGAGTATGG